ATCAAATTCTCATCCGAGATTGATCATCTGCTGTTATAATTCTACAAAGGGTTATCTCTTAACTATCTAGAAAAGTAATTGTCTCTATGAATAGTTACAATTTTCTACCCAGATTGATTTTTCTTTGTTTATATTGATTTTAAAATAGATATATTTACCTGAATTTACCATTCCCTGGCTTATGTCAGTGATCTGGCTACATGAACGTACTGTCTGGCCCTACGGTAAATTTAAAAACAAATTTTCCCTACAGATGACTATTTTACAGAAGTTATAAAAATAAATGGTACTAAAATATAATTATTTTTGAAACATAAGCAATATTTAGTGAAGCAAACATATAATGCATCCATTGAGTCAGCAGCTAATTCTTAATGATGAACAAAATTCTAAAACTATTTTCTTTAAAACTAAAAGACAATTTTCTCCTCTAAATAATATGAATTTTGGAATGGTTTTAGATTATTTTGATAAAAAGTGTTACAGAGAACAATCATTGAAATATATTGTAGTCCAATTGATTCCATTAAAAGCCAATGCCTCTAATTATATATTTAGTTCAGTTCTACCCAGAACCCACAGTCATATAAGTGTAGTTAAACGGATGAACAATAGATTAAATTACCAATTGATCAATTCAATTAGGCCATTAAGAAAACTGAAATTTGAGTTCCAGTGTATGGGCCAGTTATTTTAGTGAACCGAGTGCCCAAAGCAGATTTATAATTCAGCAATTCAATATACTACTTGGCACTCAGATGCAATGAGGACGGAATAAAGTGGACTTGACAATAGTAATGGCTACTTCCATCCCTCATATATTCTCCATCACATACAGTAAGACATTTTAAGTCATCTCAACTCTTACTTAGTATCTTGCTATCAATATTAAAAAAAAAAATCAGCTTCTTACTCTGTTAAAAATGTCCAATGCCACAGAAGCAGGAGTTTAGTTTCTGCCTTAAAACATCAACAAGCTGACTAAATTTGTTACCAATTTCCCAACTTTTGAACTACTCATCTGGAAACTATATAGGAATACCTCATTTGAAAAACAGTAAACCGTTTTGAACACAAGAACACCAAAAGCACCCTCCCGGTATCCGTGAAGTGTCATACCTAGTGTTTGTCTGAGACTGGACTCTATTTCCAACTTCATCAGCCATATCTGCATGTTTCCAAGATGTGTCTTTCACATCTCTTCACCAATATCCATTTCCATATTCCTTCTGAGACCATGTAAGCTTTTGATCAATTGTTTCCCAAATTAATATGGCACATTACATTTAATCTTACTTCCAGTTTGCCCCTTGCAACACAACCTGTGCACTACAATCAGGTAAAACAATATGAGCAGTTCTCCTAGAAGGTTTTTCTTTTTCAAATAATTAATTTATATATATTTTACATCATTGTTGATCTTTGTACAATGAATGCTTTCTCTTCTCAGGTATAGTCCCCACAAAATTGCCATCACCAATTCACCTGTGCACCGTCCCTATGGTCCCCTGTGCACTTCCTCCCCTGCAGAAAGTCTGATTTATAGTTGCTTGTTAATTTTATTATTTTTTTTTTCCTGATCCCTTATTTGGGTGCCATATATTCCTCCTATAAGTGAAGCCATCTGATACTCTTCTTTTACCTTCTGGCTTATCTCACTGAGCATAATCCCCTCTAGCTCCACCCACATTGCTGCAAATGGCATGAGTTTATCTTTTTTGATTGCTGAACAGTATTCCATTGTCTATATGCAAGGTATCTTTTTGATCCAGTCATCTGTTTTGGGGCATTTGTGTAGTTTCCATATCTTACCTACAGTAAATAGTGCTGCAATAAACTTAGGGGTGTAGGTTATCCTTTGAATTAATGGGTTTGTGTCCTTTGGGTTTTTATGTGTTTGCTCTAGGATTATGTTGCTCATTTCTCCTGCTGTACACTGTGTGTACCCAGCCACTACTTATTCTCAAGACTGGTACACTGGTGTCTCTTTTATCTACTGACACTCTCGCTTTCATTTTCCACTTTCACTACACAGTCCACTTGCTTTATCTGCTTCCTCCACTAAACTATAGCTGTTTCAGGGCAATTTTGTGTTCCGAGCAACTGGCATGATAGAAAGTATAAAAGATGCACTCAAAAGTTTGTTGAATAAAGCATATATTTACTTAGTGAATAACCTGAAACTGCTTGCTGAAAAATAGCATTTTAAAACCACTACTGAATTCTTAAAATCTGAATTTCCTAACTCTTAGTTACTTGGTGATATTAGATAGCTGATGTATAAATGTGGTGACTTGAAATGCATTTCACATAAACTTGAACAACTGCATTAAGTTACACATTATTTAAAATTACATAACTCTCTACATGCATACAAATTCATTCTCCGCATGAAATGTTGTAAAAACTATTCTTAGACAAAATTGTGAAACTTCAAATTAGCATTTATCTTTCAATCTAAGGCAAAATATAGATAATTTACTGGTATTTAAATGACCATGGAAGAATATATATTTTCTAAAGAGAGGTAACCATTCAGGTACCACTTTAACGCTTCTGTATCATGTTTACAATATGATAGGTTTATACTGAAATTGCCTATTTTAGCAGAAAAAAAATGAGTGTTAGGCATTAGGATAGAGAATGGACAACAGAAGTATATAAGATGTTCCTCCCTCAAGTTGGTTGGTACTTACAGAAAGTGGAAATTGATTCAGAAAGGATTAGCATGAATTTTTTTTTATATTTTGTATATTTTTACATCATTTTTCATTTTTGCACAATGTATACTTTTTCATCTTGGCTACTGTCCCCATACAATTCCCACCCCCCTTATTTTGACTAATTCCTCCTACCACCCTCACCCCACCCCATAGTGTATCTCTGGCTTATAGTTGCTTGTTGATTTTGATTTTTACTTTATTATAATTAGTCTTTCTCCTGGTCAGCAATCAAAAAAACTAAACTCATGCAATTTGCAGCAACATGGATGGAGCTGGAAGTGATCATGCTCAATGAAATAAGACAGAGAAAGAATAATACTGGATGGTCTCATTCATAGCAGGAATTTAGAAAACCTAAATAAGGGACCAGGAAAATGACTAATTATAAAATTATAATAAAGTAAAAGTCAAAATCAACAAGCAACTATAAACCAGAGACACACTATGGGGGTGGGGGGTGTGGGAGAAAGTGAGGAGGGATTAAGGTCAAAATAAGGGGTTGAGAATTGTATGGTACGGGGAATATAACCAAGATGAAAATGCATGCATTGTGCAAAAATGAAAAATGATGTAAAAATATATAAAGAAAATAAAAAAAAAAAGAAATGACACTTACTGCCAAGGTATGTATTGGGAATGGGGAATGTGACTAGAAATCTCTGTGGGTTCCACCCCCAAGCTGATTCATTTCACTGTTAATGTTTATGTTACAGTGTCAAATGGGGGGGTGGGGTGGGAGTGTCCCAGACATCTTAGAATAAAATTATGTATGATACAGCCATAAAAAAATAAATACCCACAAACCTCTAAAATACCCCAACATAGTTATATTTTAGCTAAAGTTAACACTATGAAATTTAGTATAAAATAAATATCCATGGTTTACAAAACAAATTTGTTTCACAAGGTGAAAAAATAAGGTAAATGATGAATTCATGATTACATATCTATGTCTTTCAAAACATTCCATTTCCAATTTAATATTTAATTAGCTCAACTGTATTCCATAATACCCCTGGAAAATAAACCTCTCAGTCACAGCAAGATAGTAAAACATATTCTTGCCAATTTTCTACATGGCTTACCTATGATTGACTTAACAGATGCATTATTAAGTATATGTGAATATAAATATTTAAAATTGTGTATCCAATGCATGCCTAAATAAGTGCATGTATGTTTGGGAATAAATGCTACATTTGCATCTGCCATAGTGTAATGGATGGATGGTAACTCTATTGCTGATGGTTATTCTCGGTGACTAATGGAAGAGAGCATACACAAAGGAGTTAGATAAGTTTTCAGAGACATCCTTAAAGTATATGGAAACTTTTAGTCAAACAGTCAGTTTGTTTTTGGGATGACTTAGGAATGTTGCCCTCTACACAGCTGAAGAACCTGAGACAACTACACAAAATAGATGTCACAGAGACAAAAACCACCATCAAAGCACTGATAGGGAGTCTGCCAATTACTCACCTGTGCCCCTTCTTTGTCATTCACACAAGTCTTTGTAAACCTTACAGAGGAGATTGAATGAGAAAATAGATAGCATAGATAAGATTGTAGCAGTTACAGGAAGAGAAAAGATCTAAGAGAATATTCAATCCAACCTGTGATTATTTAGAAGAGGAAAAGAAGCTCAGAGTCTCCATGTAAAAGGAGACAGAGGCCTATAGAAACAACTGTCCCTATGATAATTTCAAACACACATTGTAATTACTTACATGTCCACCTAAAACTCTAATAAGCCAGGTTCTTTGTCAGTTCTAGGTATCGCTATAGTCCTCATAGAGTGCAATGCTTCTCAGAAACGAGTGTATAAATGGATGGGAAAAAAAGTGTTTGATATTTTCTGGGGCAAGGGTCTTAACCTCACTGAGCCTCACGTTCACCCTTTGAAATGGAGATAATTATGACTACCTCTTATAGTGCTATCAAGGAAAATGAAATGATAAATAGCAAATACTTAGTAATCAAATTTGCACAAAGAAGCACTCATTACACATCAATGGAATGTGTGAATGAAAGAGCGAAGTTAAACATAAGGAAAATACCTGTTTCTGTAGGGACTTCGACTATAAGACATGAAAAAAATAAGAAAAGCTTCTGACATACCCTTATCTTACAGCTCAAAGAGATATAGAAAAAAAAATATATAAACAAGACCCCTAAACCAACCCAAAACTCACAGTTGCAAAATTTTTGCTACAGAAAAAAAAAAAGTTCCAACTATTCCAGATATAATTCTGAAGACAATAAAGAACAGGGCAATACCTGATAAAATTCTGACTTCTGCTTCATTTCCTGTTCGTGAGCTGGCTGGATTCCGAGCTAAGCATCGGTAGATTCCAATGTCCCCTGATTGAAGTCTGCTGATCTGCAAAGCCCCTGAGGGCAAGACCACCACTCGGGAATCACCCAGGGTCGGAGTCAGGTCCTGTTGATTTTTCTGCCAGTGTATTGTTGGCATCGGCTCCCCAATAACTTCACACTTGAGTAGCACTGTGTCTCCCATGAAGGCGGTGACAGATTCTGTCTGGGAAAGAAACCTCAGTGGTCCTAGGGGAAAAACAAAGAAAGGTTAACTCTTAAATGAATGACAATAAAAATAATCATGCTTGCAAAAAACCAATAAAAATAATCACACCTGCATTTTTCATAGACAACCATTTTATAAGTATTTTATCAATTTTCATCTCACTTGCTCTTAATATTTAGCTTACTGTTTCATTATTATTGGTTAATTAGTGTAAAATAAGCAGAGAATAGATCACCCTAATTTTATAGATGTAGAAACTGAGGCTCAGAGGAGAGAAATTCCACATGCAAGTTCACCTAGTTATTATGTATCTTTGAACCACAAGACAACTTAATCTAGGAAATTACATCAACATGACATATGGATAGGTGCAAACTACCAAGATGGTATACCACTCACTATAGCTACATTCACATAAACCACATAAACAGGTTGGCAGCCTGGAGAGGCAATAATGTTGCCCTTCTGTAAGAATGACTAATTAATTATAGATAAAGACTCATATTGATGCACACATTAATTAATCAATTGAAATTGCTCCTACATGTAGGTACTAAAATTACTCCTCTGGCTCCCAAATTAAAGCTCTAGTATCTGTATCATGAAGCTGTTTGTCTCTACACTACATATGTGTCCTATAGGGGGCACCAGTCACATGATAATCCATCCTCTTTAGCTACCAGCATAATTCCTAATTGTGCTGGGACTTACCATTGAGTGAAGCCCAAAAGAAATCTGTTAACCTGTGCCTTGACTCACTGTTCAAAGTCTGACTTCTAGGCTATATACAGTGTCCAGTCTTTGAGTCTATTCAAAAGAAGACTCATTTATCTACTACTGATTGATGTTGATACGGGTTTAAAGCATGGTTTAAACATGGTTTAACACAGAATGGTTTGTAGAAACTACCGAAGGCAAAACTGCAATAGGTAGTGACCAGATAGTGTGAGAGTTCCCTAGAACAACAAAATTTTAAACAAATTTGTGACATTTTTATTAAATAGTTTTCTTCTTGGTCTTAACCCCTACTATTATAATTTACCCACATAAGCTAAATATTTCATGATATAGGGGTAAGAATAAAATATATTTGATAAGTTGATGAAATATCTGAATACTTTTATGTATCATATATATGGTACGTATAAGTAATACACATCATATAAAATTCTAAAATATCTGTTTTACATCTGAATGTTACTCAAAAAACTGCACCTGCAACATTCTAGTGCACAGAATAAAATATGAAAGAGTAATTCAAATCGATACTCAACCATTGGCTCCTTTATATAAACCTCATCTACCTGGAAGAATCATACATGAGGATTGAGACTGCATATTAATATAATTAGGCTTAGTGGAATTGGGTTCTTCTCGCATACTTATTCAGTATAGACTCTATTGTGATTCCAGATGGTCTTAAACAGGGATCAGGATTTATCGTATTTAAAATGAAATGATGCAATGTTTGAAATCTTCAAATAGTTGATTATTTGACAGAGTGAGAAATTACATACATGACTTGTAGCTTTTTTTTTTTTTTTGCCCCTACAAAGGAAATCCTACACCTCAAATAGCAATTCTAAGATTACAAGGCTATGTAGGTCTTGGATTAATGCCCCAATATTGTGCAGATGTTTAGCACTCACATCTCACAGAGGTGTAGCAAACTGGCAATAATATTAACAGAAGAAGTTATAGGCTATCAATTTAGTACTGTATTTTCAAGGCATGAGCATGAGCACCTAGTAGTGAACATTAAACTCAATGTTACTCATAAGAATGAAATACAGTATTTTCAGAAGTCATTTAATGCTCTAATGCAAAACAAACAATCATGCTTCATTCACAGAAAATACAAGCATAATTTCAACTAGGTCTTTGTGAAAAATAGTTACCTGCTGAATAGGAGGCTGTTTGCTGAAAAAGCCTGGTTATTAGATCCCAACCAATCCACGATAATCATAGTGCAAATGATCTTCCCATTTCTATTCTTATTTTGCACAAATCCATCCCAAACAAATTTCACTCAGCAAACTGACATTTGAAACATTTCCTAGTGTTGCCCAAGAATCTAGCAAAGCACCTTCCAAACTCATCTTCTACATTCCCATGAAGAATTTCAGGACTTACTGACCTGAACCACAGCTTCCTCTTGCTTTTCTCAAAACTGTAGTCTACTTTAAGGCTGTTTTACAACCACTCCAGGCTGGGTAGGTTCACCATCGGTTCCACGGATTTGAAAGAGAATTTTGGAGCCCTTGGAGTCATTTTCACAGGTTTCAATGGTAAGCAGGGGAGAACAGCCAGCAGGGAGACAGCAACTTGACCCCCCTCCACTCCCAGCCAGGGTGACGCTGCCCTTTTAACCCCTCCCTCCTAGGCATAGATGTGCACATTGCACATGCGCACACATGCATACTCAGGTGTCCATAATCAGGCACTTGTGCCCCACACCCACGTGCTTTCCAGGTTAACAAGATCAAGGCCTCAGGTGATAGCCATAGAGGCCAATGGTGTAAAAAACCTGATCAACTTCATTTACCCAACAAAGGCACTGAGTCAGAAGAAGGAAAAATACTTTTCCCTAGTCTTGTTTACTGGAAATCATCTTTCAGCCTTTTGAATTTTTATAGTACTCATAATTTATAGCTAATATGACATGGTTGACATATATAGTTGACTATATAAATAAAATTTTGAAAGTGTTTTCAGGTTTGTATATGTTTTTTTCAGTATTTTATGTTGACAGAATACATTAAATATCTACTGAAAGAGAAAGATTCACAAATATTTGCAAAGGTTCTATGTGACTCTAAATACTTAAATGGGACATTACAAACATGCAAATGTTAATAACTGCATTTGAGTGCCAAATCTTTCACTAACATATTCTGTGGCAGTTTGGGATGGTGAATGAGGACCTTACTGGGGGGTACCAGAACACTGGGTTAATTTTTTGGCTTCACCAATTTATGATCTGGATGACTCAATGCAAGGTGTCACTTTTATCACGTATTATTCTAAGCACATTTATAGATTACCTGACTTATTCCTCATAACAGCCCATTAAATAAGTATGATCATTTTCACTTTATAAGTGGAAGTGGAATGGGAACATAACTTATTTACACAATGTATGACAGCTTTTTAGAAGTTTTAATATTGAATTATATTTCTTAAAATACTTTTTTCTTTGCTATAAGTAAAAATGTCTCAAGAGGAGTTTTTTTCCAACTATCATCATACTCCTATCTCCTTATTCCTCAAATATCAAGCAGCCACACAGTTGTGGATCAACTTACTTCGTTGATTAGTAAGTACATTCTGCCCTAGATTGAAATCTCATAGACCAACTTGAGCCTGTAGTACTGCACACAACACACAGACCTGTTTTGGGTACTCTCACAGAGACTTTTCATTATAAGCCTTGGGAAAGGCTATTTTCAAGAATGAATTCTATAGAGTCGTGTAGGGTAAGGTAAAAGTATCAGGCTTTTCTGCCCTCCCGCCATTAGGATAGATTAGGGAACCCTGTGGTCCTGAATGCATGCCTGATGGCGGGCACCTGCAGTGGGTACACCTGGGACGAGAGACTGAGATTATAAGAGCCGCATCATGGGGCGCCAGCAGAAGCCAAGAACGAATGGAAGCAGGAGAGTAGAGAAGCAGAGAGAACACAAGAGAAGGCTGGAGAGCCCAGATAGAGTGAAGGCTTGCTGGGGACTGGGAGGCCTGCCAGCCTCCTGGCCCCCCAGCACCTCTGCCTGCCATGTGCCTGGTAAATCTAAATAAAAAACCTGCAAAAGCCACTGAAGACTCCAGGACTCTGACTCCTCCTTTACCCAGTCTGCTGGATCAGAAAACCTGCTCAGTGCCCTGTTCCTGTCCCTACAAGTCGTTTCCCACCTTCACTCCTAGTCTGTCCCTTTACTAGGAAACCCGGACTTGTGGGAAGCACCCATACCTGTTCACTTAGACATTTACACAGTATCCAGCACCTCCAAGCCTTAACCAAACTCACACCTATTAGCAAGGGATTGTTCAGGAACCAAAAAAGGGAAAGACACAATGGAATACTACTCAGTGATGAAAAAGGTAAACTCATGCCATTTGCAGCAACATGGATGGAACTGGAATGGCTTATTCTAAGCAAAGTGAGGCAGGAGAAAGCCATGTACCGGGTGACTTCACTCATGTGGAAGCTAAAGGAACTAAACAAAGGATCAGACAAAGACGAACTGTAAAACTGACCCTTGAAAGCAGACTGTAGATCTGACCTACTCAGGAAAGTTGGGGTGGGAAAGGGAGAGGGGGTGGAGAATAAGAAAGTGGGGAGACTAGAACACACTAGAGGGTGGTAGACAACTACTGGCACTTTGGTGGTGGGAAAACTATGATGACTGCATCAGAGGGGAGAAGTCTTATACTGTGAAAAAATAAATAAGGATGTAGAAAAGCAAAATTAATAAATAAACATCCATTTAAAACAAAAACAAGAAAAGACATGTTGCTTTCCATAGGGAAATTCAAACACCTATGATACTTCCATTCTATCCCCTGGCTTGGAAATTAAAAACAGGGACACTTGTAATTCAAATTTCATAGGTGATAAATATTCAGTATAAGTACCTGGGATTCAGCATCAGAAATTTTATTGATGTCAAGTATTCTAATTCTAGTTGTAGAATAAGCAGTAAGTGCTTACTATTCGTAAGAGATGTAGAGCTACATTCCATGGAGAGGTGGGTCTCATGGTGCTTATTTTGATTTCTGTAAAAAATTTTTCCATTATTCTCTAATGCTAATTTTACACTAACAGAATTCAAGTGTCTATTTATACAGGTTCCTTTGATAAAAGTTCCTCAAGGTCTAGACACCTATACTCACAATTCTTTTCTAGAACATATATTAAATACCCATGCAAGGAAGAATGAAGTTTTCAGTTCTTCAGTAACATACTATTTAATATGTGGGATTTAAAAGGGCCCACATAGTTCAGAATTCTGACTTCCTCATA